CTCACTGACCCGTGCACCTGGGATCTGAGCTCGGAGAGGAAGGTCCCTCCTCCCCGGTGGACTCGCACGAGGCTCCGCTGGCACTTACCTTCACCCGCGCCCCGCCCGCTGCCCCGCCCCCCACGCCTCCCGCCCGACACTGCGCTGCCCCGTGCGTTTTTTACATTCAACTTAGTATTTTTACTATTATGATATGAGACTTTCCCTCCAAATTCTTCAATAAAAATGGCTTTTCAACCTTGTGGCTTGTTCTGTTCGTGGGGAGCCCCCATCCTTCCGGCCGCAGGGCTACCTCCGCGGGAGGAGGTCCCTCCCCTAGCTCTAGCAGGACGTGCTGGAGGGGTGTGCCTTGACTTCCTGTCTCTACTGGCTTCACCTTGCCCCATGCCCCTCGAGGAGGCCACCCAGGCTACATGGCCATCTAACCGCCCAGAAGGATCCAGCAGCGCCCAGAGCTGGCCAAGGTCACCGCAGCTGGGACAGCGGGAGGGCGGCAGGGCTGGGCTGAGGGCCCCCTGAGCAGAGTCAGATGTGCTGTGGGCGCCACCTGGTGGCCGCCCAGTAACAGATGGACGCCAGGCCTCATCTCGTGCCCCAGCAGGGGCGGCCAGGGTGCCCCCCAACTCCATGCACCCCTGGGGTGGGTAACAGTCCAGGCCTGGGGGCACATCCAGAGCAGCCGCAGGCTTCAGAGCAGTCCCTTATCTCAGTTTTGACAGGCTGTGAATCACATCACAGCAGTGACAACATATGCAGCTTTTTTGCAAACCACAAACACCAAACGTTATAAAGGACGCTTTAGAGGTAAGAGACATCCGGTCTGAGACATAAAAACTTGAACCAGCTGGGCCCCTGTGCCTTGTGTGTGACTCCTTGTGACCAGCAAGTCCACATCCAGGCATATGCCTCAAGGGTCTGAAAGAGTCTCGAGACATCTGTGGCCCGTTCACAGCGGCATCACTCACCACAGCTAAGACGTGGGCGCAACCGAGTGTCCACGATGGATTATGGATGAGTTAACTGGTCTGGCCACACAGTGGGCCGTCACTCGGCCTTAGAAAGGAATGAATTCTGACACCTATGATGGATGGACCTTGAAGACATTATGCCTAGTGAAACAAGCCAGAGACGGAAGAGCAAATGCTGTCAATGAGCAAATACTGTCGACTGTCTGACATGCGGGCCCTGCGGGAGTCAAGTCTGCAGGGACAGGAAGCAGGCGGTGGTGCCAGGAGCCTGGGGGGTGGGGGGTGGGGGGTGGGGCAGAAGGTCAGACTTGCAGGATGACAGAAGCTCTGGGGATGGATGGTGATAAGTACATAACAGTGCGAGTTTATTTCATATTACTAAACGACACACTTAAAAATGGAAGAGATGGTAAATTGTATATATATTTTCACATAAGAAAAAAGGAAATACACACATCGTAGAAATCAGAAGATGCAGCTAGACCTTTCCTTTCTCCTCAAACTGCAAGCAAATGGCGACGGAAAGTGGCAGGTGTGGTGTGGAAATGCAGAGCCTTCAAATCTGGAGCTGCAGTGTCAGGCGGGGGCCCAGCCGGGGTTGAGGGGTACAAGCTGCTCCTCATGGGACCCTTTTTTGTAATGCGGGTCCCTTAGGGACATTCCTATGGCCAGGAGAAGCTTCAAGATCACAGGCACGGACACGAGCACGTCACCTTGTGTCCCCATCCTAGTGGGCCATAAGGGAGTGGACGGTGGGGACCCTGTGGTCACCTACTGCAGCAGTGTCTGGAGAGACAGCGTGGTGAGCGCCAAGACAGGTGCCATCCTGCTTGGGCCGCACGGCCAGAGCACGCCAAGAGGGGTGGGCCCTGTGGCCATGGTTGGGGCCTGCTGGCTCGTGGCCTGGGGCTGCTAGGCTAGGGTCCTATGGACTGGCCTTCGCGGAGGGGCACCGCCTTCCTGTGTCCCATCCCCACACCAGCCCCTCCCCTACACGGCCGGCCTCGGAAGGGCAGGAAGACAGAATGGAAGGGACTGGCACCAAAACTGCCCAAGCCTTGGCAGGTATGAATAAATGAGGCCCTGGGTGCAGAGGGCCAGGTTGGCAGCTCCTAGCAAGGGGTGACAAGGCCAGGAGCTGTCCAGCTGACGTGGGGTCCCACTGGAGTGACTTTCTCATAGGCAGCAGAGCTGGCTCATGTTTATCTTGAATGTGACCAGATATGAGTTTAAATACCATTCTGCAATTTTTCTTTGTCCTGTTTATTCTTTGTTATGACATTCTGGATTCAATGAGTATCTTTTTAGAAGTTCTCCATATATAGGATCTGTCCTTTGCAGAGATTTTCAAAATGTCTTTTTCACTCACTCACGTGCTGACTGATCAAGGGGGGTGGGGGGTGGGGCAGAAGATTGTTTTCGTGACACCTCTGTGCAGGATTGTTTTCGATCTGCTTGCAAATCTTTTGACATTTCTTGCAATTCTTTCGGCTTTTGTATGTCTGAAAAAGTCTTTATTCACCTGCATTTTTGAAAAATATTTCACTGGGTATAGGATTCTAGGTTGATGGATTTTTTTTTCCTTTTCAGATGAAATTTAAAGGTGCATTCTGCTGTCAGCTTGCACAGTTCCTGAAGAGCAGTCTGTTGCCACTGTTATCTCTGTCCCTCGATATGTCAAGTGCCTTTCTGCTCTGGTGGCATTCAAGATTTTTCTTGAATCACCATGGTTTTGAAGAGTTTAAGCAGGCTGTGCTTCCACGTAATTTGCTCCATGTTGCTTTTCTTTGGGGTTGGTGGAACTTTTAGATCTGTGAGTTGACAATTTCTATCAAATCTGGAAATTTCTTAGCCCATTTTTTCTCAAAAAGTTTGCCCGCCTCCCCCTACCCCCCACCCCGGACTCCGCTCATAGGCATGACAGGCGGCTTGAGGGTGTCACAGTTCATTCCAGCTCTGCTCATTTGTTCTCAGTATTTTGTTTTGGTTTGGGCAGTTTCCGTTGCCATGTCTTCAAGTTCACCAGTATTTTCTTCTGCAGTGTCTACTCTGACTTCAATCTCATGCAGTCTCTTTCCTTTTCCATCTCTGACACTGCATTTTCATCCCTAGTTCGATTTAGTCATTTCACGTCCTTCATTCCTTTAACATGCCCTTTCCCTCACCTCGCGAATACGTGGGATGCGCTCAAAACAGCACTGCTGATGACCTCTACTATCTGTCGTCTACTATCCGCCACCTGTGCCTTCTCTGGTCGGCTCCCGCTGACGCCCCGCCCTCTCCCTGCGCGCCCCGCCCCGTCTCCCAGCGTGTCCCACCCCCTCTCCCTGCGCGCCCCGCCCCCATGTTTCTTCGCCCATTTTGGTGCCTTTCGTTATTGGACACTGGGCACCGTGAATTGTATCTCATCAGGTTAGATTTTAATGTTTGAGCTTTGTTCTGGACGCTATGACATTACTTAAAAAAGTCTGGCCTTTTCAAGGCCTGAGTTTAAATTCTGTTGGGAAGGAACAGAGCCGTCTTCAGGGTGAACTGGTCTCACTGTTGAGTCAGGTGAACTGCTGAGGCCTCTGAACTTGGGCTGTGGCACGGTGACTTGCGCCTTGTCCTCTCTCGAGGCCCCAGCCCACAGCCGCCTGCACACGAGTCTCTAGATGCTCTTCGGCCCAGTGAGGCCCGAGCCCCCAACCCTGCAGCCAGAGGCCTCTCCAGGTACCCGAGGCCGCAGTCCAGCACGGCCTGCTGTTCGATGTCTGGATGGTCTGTCTGCTTTTAAAAGTTGCTATGGGCAGAGTGCACACCTGGCCCCCAGCACTCCACCGCTGCTGCCCAGAAAATGTTTATCACAAACGTGTGTGCCAGGCGCTGTTCCAGCAAAGTCCCAGCGCTCAGGGAGCAGAACAAGTAATGAGCACAGACCACATCGGCTGGTGACAAGTTGGGAAGGGGGAGAAGTGGGGGTGGCAGGGAGAGGCCAGGGCCCGTGGGGCCACTAGCTTTTACTTTTGGGGACATGCTAGCCACTGGAGGTCTGGGCAGGGGACTGCCAGATCCATTGCTGAGGGTATGCCCCAGGGGGACAGACAGGGCAAGAAGCCCAGGCCACACAGGGACCCCAAAGGGTGATGGTGCAAGGCTCCCCTGTTGGCATGGGCCGGGAGTCGAGTGCACAGGTCCCGCCAGAGCTGGGCCCAGTTGGGGTGGGCGGGCAGGAGTGAGGTAGCAGCACAGTGGAGATGAGGTGTGGGGTCGAGGTCTGCAGGTGGACACCTGGAGGGAGGCCCCAGGACCTCTACAGGAAGTCAGGTAAGAGCAGGTGACTCCATGACGGGACGGCCCACAATGGCTGTGTCCAGCGCCAGCTGGACGACCTCAGGCTGCCTCCATTCGGGAAGACCCAGGCAGTCACGTGAGAACCACTCTGAGCAGCGGTCCCGGGCTGTTCGCCCCCACACCCGCTTCAGCCGTTGTAGGCTCTGCCCGTGGGCCCGGCGGATGGGCCGTGCTGCCGCTGGCCCTGCAGGGGGCGCCCATGGGGACCAGGACCAGGCGCCAGGCCAGGAGGACCTGCTTGTCGGCGACTGTCTGTGCCTCTGCTCTGTCCCGGGCCACCCCAGCCCTCTCCCTTCAGGCAACTGCAAATGGCGTGGGACAGCACCCTGCTGGCCACCGCTCGCAGAGGGCAGGGCCTGGCAGCCACCCAGAGTCCCCAACCAGCAAACAGACACCCAGAGAGGGGCACCGCGGCGCCGCTTTGGGGACAGCGGTGCCCTGGCTCCACAGGTGCCCGCTCTGGAGTCAGGCGACCCGGGTCCCAGCCCCCTCCCCACAGCCGCTGGCTGGGCTGGTGAGGAAGCTGCTCGGGCCTGTCTTCCCATCGGCAAAACGGGGAGAGCCTTTGGGCGCTACGTGAGCTGCCACGTGGAGTAGCAGGGAGGCCCCAGCGCCAGCGTGGGCCCCCCCCAGCACCTGGCCGGTCGCACGTCCAGGAGGCGGCGCCCTCAAGGCCAACGACACAAGTGAGTCCTCTCGTCCAAATATAAAGGGTTTATTCACTTCCGTCATCAGTACAAAACGTAAAACAGGGCGCCCGCCGCGGCTCTTCCGCGTCCCTGCCAGAGCTCGTCCGGCCGTCCCTCGCGGCCCTCAGCCTTCGAACATGGCGCAGCTGGCACAGAGCGCCTTCTCGTGCACGGCACTGCAGCTGCGACATCGCGGGGAGAGGAGAGACAAGTCAGGGGCTGAGCTGTGTCCCCCCACGTTTATACGCTGGGTGCCAACCCCCCGGCCCTTGACCTTATCTGCAGACGAGGCCGTTCGCTGCAGGTGTAACTGGCTGGAACGAGGTGCCCACGCAGTAGTGTGGGCCCTAATCCCACGACCAGCGTCTTCACAAAAGAATAACACGCGAGAAGGGTACACACAGAGGGACGATGGCGTGAGCACACAGGACGGCCGCCCAGGCGTGCCAGCCACCGCCGGGGGCTGGGAGAGGCCCGCAGCCGGTCCTGCCTCGTAGCCGCAGAAGGAACCAACCCCGCCAATGCCCCGACCTTGGACTTCCGGCCACCAGGGTGACAGGACAGAGGCCCGCTGTCCAGGCCGCCCACCTGTGGCGCTTGCTGGAGCACCACGCTGAGACCCGCCTGGGTCTCACGACGGATGGAAGCCCACCCAGGTGTCCAGCTGGGGCTTACTGGACCACGGAGGCTCAGCTGGACCGTGTCACATAGGTCCAGACGAGGAAGCTCAGGGACGTGCAGGGAAATGCAGGGGAAGAGGCCCCGAAAGGACGGGGAGCTGGCACCCGCTGCAGGAGGCGCAGGAGGCCAGGGCTGAGCCCCTGGGGTTCAGACAGTAAGACCACAGTCCACCAGCGAGCCACGGACCAGCCCCGCCAGCGGCCAGGAGTGAGCGGGGCGCCACTGGGCCGCGGCAGAGAATCTGGTCTCCACCTTCCCAGCCCAGGAAGCCGAGGTCCGCCCCAAAGCAGCTGGGGACCGGGCAGAAGGCTGTGGGCACAGCAGGCCCGAGGTCTGGCTCCCAAGCCTGGGGATGCCAGTCTGGCCCGTGACCTGGAGCGAGTCTCTTATTTCTCACACAAGGCAGGAGCCCGCCCCTGGCTGTGGCCACCAAGAAAGGGCACGGGCCGTGGGGTCGGCAGCCTGCCGACGTGCAGCCTGAGTTCTGTGGGCAGGCGGGGGGGAGGAAACGGAAAGTGGAGGCTGGGAGGAAACCGGACGAGGCTCCATGGAGGGCACAGTGTGTGGCAGAGGGAAGTGTCCGACAACATGGGGCTGGCGGGAGGATGACGCCAGGCGGGGAGCCCACCACCCGCCAGCCCGCCCTCCGCGGTGTCCCGTTTGCACGTCAGCGAGAGAACAGGAAGAGCTAAGCCGGCGAAATTAAGTTACATTTGTAACTCGTCCAACAGCACCCCCGAACGAGAGAGCGCGAACGTTCTCCAGTCCCGTGTCCCACCCCCTGGGCCCGGCCTCAGGGCCTGGGCCCACCCAGAGCTGCACCGTGCCCCGGCCTTCTCTCTCCACCAGGCAGCCCCCAACTTCCCAAGTTCGGTCTTGAAGACAGTCCCGACAAAGCTCGCTCCAGGCAGCTCCGTATCGGCTTTGGGGGGGCGCATCTTCCCGACAAGGCACTGCCCACCCCCACCACTGGGGTGGGGCCGGCCCGCAGCGCCTCGCGCACACTCACACGCACTCACATGCACCCAAGTAGCAGGAAAGACGCTCCACTTCCTGCTCGACAGCCCATAAGCAACCTCGCAGGGACACGGGGACACCTGCGGCGCACCTGCCCTCCCCTGCCGGACGTCCTCCAGTAAGGAGACGCAAGGTAGGCAGGAGATGCAGCCCTAACGTGAGGGCTCAGAGGACCCAGCACGACTGCTTACGGCAGGAGACGGCCAGGAGAGCCGGCCGCCGTGAGGCTGGCTTCCCCCAGGAAGGGCCGTGCTCTCCCAGGGCCCCCACCCGGCTGGGCGCCCCTTCGGGCGAGCACTTACTCCACGAGGACGCACAGGGCACAGGCCAGGGCCCCGCAGCCGCTGCAGGAGCGCACGCATTGCCCGCACAGGGCGCGCTCGCACTGGCCGCACGCCGCCGTCCCGTCCGCGGCCCGCACGCACGAGGAGCAGGCTCTGGACGCCGCCATGGACGCGTCTGCGAAAGACAAACGCCACCAGTCAGGCTGGGCAGGGGACTCGTAGCGCTGGGGGCTGCGCAGCCCGCGTGCCCCGCCCAGGACAACCCGGAGGCTACAAGAGCACACAGCACTGTCTCCCCAGAGACACTGGGTGGTTCTGGGACTCCAGGGTGAGCGACTCCCCATCTCCGCTCCCTGGCCCCCTGCACTCTGGACACAGCGTTGCAAGGGTCAGCTGTTCCCCTGATATGTCAGAACCCTGGCCTTCGTCCCGTGCGTCTACCGTGTCACAGGTTCACGAAGGTCCCTGGGCCCATCCAGACCCAGGGGTGGGCCAGGACACTGTGTTTCTAACCGGCAACACAGCTGAGTCTGAGTCGCGTGGTGCACTGCAGACACCAGGCCAGCTTCTCCCTGCCCAGACGGGCGTCGGGGGAGCGGCCCAGGGGAGCAGGCAGGACCCCCAGGCGGCCTCTGCTCCTTTCCAAACCAACAGTTAGAGGCCGCGTGACAACTCCCAGACCTGCGTGTCAAGGGGTGGAGGGTGCGGCAGAACCTGCACACGGCAGGGGAAGCCAGGGTTCACCGGCTCCACGCCCGGGCCGCTCCCACCTGCCCAGGTAGGAGAAGGCCCTGGGTGAGCGGAGCCTCAGATGGAGGGGGCGGCACCTGCCACGGCTATTCTTCGTGCTTAGCTGGCAGGTGCAGGCTGTCAGCCACACTCACCGGCCTCGCAGGCCTGGGGTCGCCTCCTGGTCAGCCGGCCGTCAGGTCCGATCAGCATCTGCCCACGCGTGGCCCGCGGGGCCTCCGTGGGGCTGGGCTTCGGGGACTCCGGCCCGTCGACGATGGCGCAGCCTTCCTCCCACGCGTGGTCCATGCAGGCCTGGGCCCCACGAAAAAGGAGCTGCCTGGTCTTCTCTAGGGACACAAAGCGTTCCTCCTGTCCTCGCCTCTGCAGCATGGGGCCCTCGCACAGCCATCTCGGCCCTCAAGCCGGTGCGTGACCTCTGTGCTCTTCCAGTCACCCGGCCCCTGCTGCTCCCTGGGGAACTGGGTCCACTCTGCCTCCCGCCCTTCCCTCCCCGGGCTCAGCTGCCACCTCCTGCAGGAAGTCTGCAACCACGCAGCCCTAGCCGTGCTCCCTCTCTGGTCACCCTGCTCACTCCTACACAGCTCTCGCGGTGGCCCCCCCTCACCGCTACCACCGCCCCCAGCCCGGCGCCAGGCCAGCTGAGTTCCGCAGAGGCTCTGAGCTGCGGAGCACGGCCAGTGTGTGCCCCGCTTCATCTATTGCGGAGCTGCTGGCAAAGGACGTGGCAGCCACTGGCTCCAGACAAAGGTATCTCAGAACTTTCCAGACCTCTGGGGTCCTGGATACCAGTCGCCTGCAGGGCCGAAGTGGCTGCTCAGCACCCAGGGCGGTCAGTGGCCTTCTGTCTGGTCACACATCAGTCACCCGGGGGCTTTCACAAGATCAAATGCCCGGAGCCGGCCCCAGAAATGCTTTGTTTGTTTCTGCCTTGTTGCAACAGAGCCAGGGTGGGGATCCTGGAAGATGGTGGCTCCACATGAAACTGACGGTAATAGTTATTAGGTAACTCAAATGGAGTGGCTGATGACAGCCTGGCCGTGCCCAGCTCCTCCACCAGGCTCTCCTGGGCCCACCCCTGACTCACAAGGGGATGGGAAAGGGGGTCACATGGTGAGGCTGTTTGTCTTTAAGGTCCTGTGTCAGGGTGACCACCTCAGGCTTGGAATTTGTTACATGTGAGTTCGAGCTGGGCGTCCTGCCCTCAAGAAAGAAGGCGCAGGGAGCCCAGCCCTCTCCCCGGTGGGCCTGCAGGTCATGGTGCCCCGCAAACGCTCCTGAATGGGTGGTAGAGGAAGGGGCGAAGAGCCAGGCTGCCTTAGGCCCCATTTTTTCAGTTTCTGCTGCTGGCACAGTGTTTACGTTATTTGTTTGTCCTGATGGGTCAGACTTGCAGTTCAGCCATAGTCCCCAAGGCTTCACTCATTATTATCACTCCCATGGCCCTGGAAAGCATTTGTGTTTACAACTGGAGCATGCGACGAAACGGCAAAGCAAATGTGAACAGTGGTAGCTGGCGTGTGGAGAGAGGCAGAAGAGAACCGGGGTCTCCGAGGCTGGGCTCTCCCCACACCCCTGACACATAGCAGCACCCCTCAATTACAAACAGCCAGGTCACAAACCTTGTGCCTCCAACCTCTCAGTAAGCTAAGGTCCACGCTGTAGCTGCCCCAGAGTATCAAGCATCCCAAACTTATGATCAGTAATACCGATACGCCTAAAAATCTGCATGAGAGAGCCAGGCGAGGACTCCGACGCCTTACTGCCCTCACATCTGGCCCTAAACAGGGCATTCCGGCCGCACGGAATCCCGCCGCACTCTCCTGCTCCCTGGCCTTAGCACAGGCTGTTCAATCTGCCTGGTACTTCCTCTCCCCCTCCGCCTGCCTACCTCCTGCTCACCCTGCGGGATTCGGCTTAGACTCTGCTCCTCTGCGAGACCTCTGACACCCCTGCAGGTGGTCTTGCAGCGACTTTTACCTGCCTAGATCATCTCTGGATAGCTCTTCCCTTTCTGGTCCCCGACTAGACCCGGGAGCGCCCGAAGACGGCGTTCTCACGCGCAGCCGCAGTGCCTGGCAGGGAGGGCGCGCTCTTTAAATACTCATTGGCTAGAACAGGTAATTCTGGCGGCTTACTCCACTCAGGACATCCCGCTCCCCGACGTCTCGCTGCGCCCGAGGGGCCTCAGTGCTAGTCAGACCCGGGCTAGCTACTGAGAGAGGTCGGCATACCCGCAGGACAGAGCCTGGAGGCAGCCGCACGCAGAGGCCGCGCGTTTGGGGAGGCAGGGACACTTCCTGTAGGTTGTGGCCACCGCAGGTGGACGTGGGCGCATTCACGCCCCACTCATTACTCCCAAACCCGGGCCTCCCTGCGGGTCCAGGCCCCGCGTCACAGCGGGGAAGCCCTCTCCCGCACTCACCGAAGATTTCCCGCGAGTAACGCTCGGAGCACACACCGCGGCCCAGCTCCCTCCAGCCCACGCGGACCTTGAGTTGCAGCGGGGCCGCGTCCCCAAGGGGGCAGCCCCGCTTGG